AATTCGGAGGGATCACATATATTCAGTCTATAACAGCAAATGTTTGCCTAAATGTGTCCTCTACTTTCTACAGGCTTGAACGGAGGACATGCTAGTTAGCCATCGTGGACCATGTAGCTAGGGTGATATTTTAGGTACTGGCAGAGTGACAAAAGGTAAGGATTGTAGGGCCTTGCCTACCTTGAGAACAGCCACCATGCCAACTCCAAATTTTATCAACTTCTATTTAGTGTAACCATTGCCTCTTATAGTCTCCTTTATAAGCATCTGATCCTATCTTAACTCAGGGATCGTTTAAGTGAAGTTTAAATTTCTCTGGGGAATGAATGTCCTTCATGGGATATGAAAATCCTCATAATTTTGAGAATCATCTTCTAGATGCTCAGAACTTCCATGTAATGATGATGATGAAAATACTCAAATTTAAAACTTAAGTGTGTTTCAGGGACTTATACTAATTAATTTCACATATCTTAAGTCATATGTACTCTTCCTAAAATTAATCTGTTTTAGTACACGCCTGTGGTAGAAATTGTTTCCTTTTCTCACTCCATAAATGTCCTTTTCTTGGTTCAAAGAAAAGGTTTTAACTCTTACCCACTCCAAATTTTAGAATAAGGCTTTATCCTTGCAAGGTTGAAAAAATTTTTTAAAAAATCATTATCTCTTGGGCCAGAGATTTAGCTCAGTGATGCTGCCACCTGCCTTGCAAGTGCAAAGTCCTGAGTTCAATCCCTGGTACAAAAAAAAAAAAAAAAATCATTACCTCCTAAACCAGATGTGGTGGTGCACACTTGTAATCCCAGAATTCAGAAGGCTGAGGTAGGAGGATCTCCACGAGTTTGAGGCCAGCCTGGGATACATAGTGACTTCAAGTCAGCCTGAACTACATAGTGAGACCTTGTCTCAAAAAACCAAAAATAAAATCATCTCCTGCTAAGACTCCCTTAAAGCATTTGTTTTCTAATCATCCTACCATGAAATGTTAATACTATAGATATACCAGTATATCTGCTTAGGTAGTATATGTATACCTTTATACCTAAAAAGAGTAAGACTTTTTTGTTTCTCTGGAACTAGTTTTTGCCCCATCAAGATATCATGCTCTGGGAAAAACCTTTCAGGCACCATGGGAAATTTGAAATACTGGCATTGACAGGAGAAATTAAATAACTCTATGATTGTGTAACAACCTCTTGCAACTTACATGATTTATGAACTTCTGTTTAATAAAAATTCAAGAATGCAATCAAATGGTCAGCTAGGAAATCACAAAAATTAGCTCAATCCTTTATCATTTTCACGTATTTATGTGAATAAGATTTCTCCAGACTTACAGATGTGAAAATGGAAAACATTAGGATAATAGAGGCTAGGAGCTGAAGACTGAAATGGTTTCTGGTGAAGGTCTTGATCCTAGTTTACAGCCTTCTTGCTGTGTCCTGACTCTGATTCTGCCTAACATTAAAAATTATTTACCTATAAAAATAACTAGAATAAGTTCTATCCATTTAAACATGCATTACCAATAAAATTCATTTTTAGTGTTTTATAATAACATACTAATTTTTCCAAAATTTTAATAACTAAAGTCAAGAGATATCTTTCAACTCTTGAATCCTTTTAGTCTCAGGAAATTAAAGAAACTACTAAATTAAAAATACTTTTGGGCTGGAGATTTAGCTCAGCAGTTCTGTCGTCTGCCTTGCAAGCACAAGGTCCCAAGTTTGATCCTTGGTACCAAAAACAAAAAAAACCCAAACTTTAAATTTAGACATCTATGTACATGTATCCATATATAGATGAATTTATACATATAAGTATCCACATGGATCTCCACATATATTTTTATATCATATATGTGAATATCAGTGTATATCATATGAAAATATATCTATTTCACAGAGAAAATATGACAAAATCATCAATAAAATATAAGAATAAAAATATTAGGATAAATTATATGGGAGAAGTGGAATGAAAATAAGAATTTGAAAGGAAAATGAGTTGCTCTAAAATCTCTAACTCCTAAAGAAGCACTTATTTATGTATATTTCATTATTATTATTATTGTCATTATTATTATTATTATTAGTTTGGTACCGGGGACTGAACTTGTGACCTTGTGCTTTTGAGGCAGGCGGCAAAACCACTAAGCTAAATCCCCGGCCCTTTTTATGTATATTTTAAATAGATGAATGGATGACTGTGGGCACCGAATTGTAACTTTGAGATTCCATTTTTTGTTTAAAAGAGTCATGAAATAGTTTACTTTTTAAAATAACTTATTTTATTAGTACATTTTTGCAGTACATACTGATTACATTTATCATGGGGGTCGATACATGCACATCCATAACACTTCTTAATTCTTTTTACTTCCTCTTCCCTCCTCCTCTCCACTCCCTTCCTCTTTCTCCATCTCTTGGTCCTGTTTCCATATGCAAAAGATCTAACTCTCTGTTTCTTATTATCTGTCTTTTATTTTGCTCTTTAATTATTTGTGCTTTGGGTTTCTCATAAGAGAAATCATGCAGGACTTAAGTTTGTGTGTCTGCTTTATATCACTTACCATTATGATCTCAAGGTGCATCCATTTTCCTGCAAATGAGAACCATTTAATTTAAAATGATATCCTATACTATTATTTCAACCTATAACGCAAAATGTTAGATGTCAACTTAGAAATAAGTGAGATTGTCTTAAAAATTACTTTGAAGGATACCAGTGAAAAAGGTGGAAGATTCCTATCTGAAGTAATCCACGAGATCAGAGCCTGACAGGTGGGTCAAGGGACCAAGTCTGGAATGGAAATCTGCTCTATCCCAATTCTGGCTACTAGTTCTGGCAATGGCCGTGAGACTGAGCCTATAGGTGAGCATGAAATGGCCCTGAAAGTGACATGTGAGAGAGGGCAGCCTGGGAAATGGGGATCCAGCTGGCTATTTTTCACATTTTCTGCTTCTTCACTCTTCCTAGATGCATGGGGTCAAGTGTTGAACCGTAACCTAAATGAGCAGCAACAGACCTCGGACATCACTGTCTTCTCCTCCACCAAGGGCCTCCAACCCCAGTGGCTACATCATGTCACCAAGTTCCCCAGGATTCTTTTCTAGCTGTTCTCACCTCTTACTACTCTGACCTTTGCTTCAAAACTGTGGTTCCCTACCACCTGTCTGGCATGATCTGGAGAGCCTGTTACATGCTGATTTTTGGCTGCATTACATAGCTCTTGTACTGGCCTCTCTGGGGATGAGATTCAGAATTGTGACTGATTCACATTTTATATAAGAAGAACTTTTTTATGCCTCAGCAGCTTTTGTCTAAGCAACAACGCTGCATTTCTTTGCTTACCACAGAATTTGAGCTTGGGTTAAGATTTAAAACACTAGGAAATGAAGATGTGAATCAAAATGGATTTGGGCAGGTTTTTTCTCAGATGACTAGCAGACACTTTCTGGGGGCCTTGTTGGTTTTAATCTGGAAGAATGGGAAGAAAGAAATAATATTCAGAGAAAGATAAAATACATTTCCAAAAAAGGGGAAAGTCACAAAGCCAGCTCTCTCCTGGTCTGATGCTTAGGCCCAATGACATTGAACAAATGTCCATGAATGTTCAACATTGACATAAAAGCAGATGCTTTCCAGCTCTGCATCTAATTCAGAGTTGGCAACCATTCCAGCCCTGGGGGTTGGATCAGAGTTTGAGCTAGACCAACACAATCATACTCAGAGGCTGAAAATGGGTGTTTTGTTCAGGAGAAGCTTAGAAAGGAACCAGTGTGTAATGGAGTTTGTATTTAGCAGTCAGATTCAACACCAGCTGATTCTGTAAGACAACCTGATGGGAAGGTCCCATGAAGATGAAGGTTTGGGAGATGGATCCCCTTGATAGCACAGCAAGGAGGAAGTGGGTAAAAATGGGATAGCACAGACTTAGGATCTCTATTTCTTACTTTTAAAAACTAGCAACTCCTTTCTCTTTCGATCAGCTACTTGGGCCAGGTTGAAGGTCAGGTCACAACCTTTGATTTTTCCTGAGTTCACTGCATCATGATCTGTGGTCTTGGTCATTAGAGTTATGTTTTCAATTATTTAGAAAAATTCAAGGCAAAACTATTTGCTCGGTGCCAGCCCCAACACACTTGGTTTCCCTTATCTAGGAAGACTTGTCTTGTGTGCTTTGGAGAAGGGAAGGCTTGGAGAAGCCCTACAAGAATGGCATAAATGTATTGGAGATGAATATATATGCATACATACATATATGCTTTCTTCTATATATTTCTGACATTGAGGAATGTGGGCTTTTCAGAAACAATGTTTGAGTTTTAAACTTATGTTGAGAATTATCATTGCTTCACTGATTTCACACCACTCTCTTCCTCCCCATTACCACCTTGTTTTTACAGTAATATAGTGAATTAAAATATTTTGTTTTGAGAAGTTAAGGAAGAATTCTGGGATGCTTCTGGGGATGAAATGGAAACCCTTGTGGTTGACACCAGGATTGAAGATTGCTACTCTTAGGCTAGAAATACCAGAGAGTGGTCTAGCAGTGTTTTAAAAGTTCTCAGCCTTGGCTGTTTGTAATACAACACTTTGGTTCTTAGCACAAATGAAAAATTTATTTCTAGTCATTTTTTGGTGACTCAATTACAAAGGCAACATTCTTTCCATTTATTATGTTTTCTTAAAAATTGTTTTATACCACGAAAACAAATGGGTATATCTGCCCCAGTATTTTATTTTTCTTGTTTGCAACTCAAATAATTTGCTCATTCAGTTTAAGGGAAAAATATCGTGATTTTCTTATCCAAGTACTCTTCCTTCACAATCGGAACCACCTATGTATTATTTTGATCATTCATTCATCTGTTTACTCAGTTGACAAATATGTACTGAGTATTAACAAATGTTCTCAGAACTGGGTTGGAGATTGGGATACAGGGACATGTGTTTTCTGCCTTCAGGAAGTTTCCACCAGATTATAATTTATCAGATGTTCCTCTGGGATCTCTCTGCACACCTCTTGAGAGATGACATTCATGTGACTATGTGTTATAATACTGACTGGAACATTCTTGCTATTTCTCCAAGGACCAAGTGAATGCACTGCAGCAGTTTGCTTCCTGTACCATGGACCAAGCATGTGGGATCCTCACCACCTTTTTTCCTGAGTCACAGAGAGGCCACACAGAAGAGTTCTCCTAACTTCTTAATTTCAATGTATTTAAATTTATCACTTGGTTCTTCTATCATTAATTTTTTGTCACTTGTTTGAAAAATGTAATTGTGGTCATAAAGAGCTTCTATATTTTATTGTAAAAAAAAAAAAAAAGAGTTCTCCTGGAATATTTGCAAGTAGATAAGATCCCTTAAGCAAATAAAAGGAATTATAGTTACATTCCCAGGGGGAAATTGTGGTGTTGGAACTTGGGGTCTTGACTATCGCTAAATGGATATATATATCCTTGGGGATTTGCTACAATCCAGGGGATTATTGAGCAAATCTCTCTCCCTGAGAGAAGCTGTAGATCAAATAACATAAGGCCTTCATTACAAAGGGAGCTGACTCCCGCCTACCAGATGGATTGAGAAGCATCCAGACCTGACTTGCACAGTGTCGACTGGATAGTCAGCCTGCTGCTGCATGCTCTGGTCTGTTGGGCTCCAAGGCTCAGCCTCCCACAGCTGTGTCTCACAACAGGAGGGAGTGGACTCAGGTCTGAGTCATAAATGTCTTCTTTTCTTCCTTCTTTTCAGGTGCAGAGGGCTGAGTCAGTTATAACCCAAGGATCTTTGCACATCATGCTCATTATCCATGGATAGCTCTTTCACTAGTTGGCAGTTTGCTTCCTTCTTATAGTCTCACTTTCCGATACCTCTTCCTCATAGGTATTGTTCTCAAAAGTGCATATTGTTTAGTCTGCATAGATTTTCTTCTTTTAACTATAACTATACTCAAACATAATAGAAAGTTGAATAGTACAGTCTACACTCCATTACCCACCAACTAGAATCAAACCTTAACTGACATTTTTCCATACTTAGTTAATTTTATATAGGTTTTTGAAAATAAGTTGTTGACATCATGATAAATCACCTTTAAATGCTTCTGCATTCTATAAGCAAGAACATTCTTCTAAAGATAGTATCATCGCACTTTGGAATGTTATTAATTAAATAATTTCATCCAGTAACTAGCCCATATTCAAATTTTCTTAATTACTAAAAATGTTCTTATAGCTCCTTTAATATGTAATAAAATTCACTTAATATTTACACATTGTGTTTTGATAAATATTTTCAACTTCTTTAACTCTAGAATAGCTCTTTCCCCTTTAAAAAAAATAATTGGCTCTAAAACATTTTAAGACATTTCTTTCCTTTTTAATTTAAATTAATTTTTTGAATTTATTCACAAAAACATAAAAAATCAATACATTTGTGGGACACTACATAATGTTTTGATACATATATGCTTTGCACAATTTTAAATCAGTTTAAACATATCTATCAAACATGTCATTTCTTTGAGATGATAAATCCTTTGCTCTAGCTTTTTGAAATACGTAGTATGTCACTGTTATCTATAATCACCCTACTCTGCAGTTACACAAGAGAACTTCTTGCTATCTAACTGTAACTTAGTGCCCATTGATCATTCCTCCACATCTCTTTCTTCTCACTACTCCCCCCAGTCTCTGATAACTACCATTCTATTCTCAACTACTATGAGGTCAGTTTTCTTCTATTCTATATATGAATGAAATCATGAGGTATTGGTATTTTTGTTCCTGGTTTTATTTCACTTAACATAATTTTCTCCAGTTCCAGCCATGTTGTTGTAAATGAAAGAATTTCAGGGTTTTTTTGTGGCTGACTAGTACTCAAGTATATATATGTATATATATATATATATATATGGATGTAATATATATATATATATATATATATATATATATATATATATATATAGTCACATTTAAAAGTCTATTCACCAGATCATGAATGCTTAGGTTTTTTCTGTATCTTAGCTATTGTGAATAGTGCTCAAGAATGCTATACTGATTTCATTTTTTGTATATGTGCCTAATAGTGGGATTGTTGGATATTATTATAGCTCTATTTTTAATTTTTTGAGGAACCTACTAAATACATTCCTACCATCAATGTACAAGCTTCCTTTTTCTCTATTTCCATGCTAGCACTTGTTATCTTTTGTCTTTTTGGTATTAACTATTCTTTTTTTTTTTTGTCTTATCATTGGGTCTTTTGCCCTTTTCTCTTTTTTTTGTTAAATTCTTTTATTGGTACATTTCAGATATACAACACAATTACATTTCTCATTGGGAAATTGTACTTTTACATGACGCATCTTGGTTCTTATTTTTTCCCCATTCCTAGCCCTCCCTTCACCCCCTCCACCCTTCCCTATTTACAAAGACTTCATTTCCATTTTTTCCATTTCTCATCATTTTTCTTTTCCCTTTTTTCCTTTCCCCTGCCCTTCTCACTACCCCTACCCCTTTGGACCTTTTCTTCCTATTTTGCATTATTGATTATTCATTCTAATCATTGGCACATTTTAGGTATACAATATAATGACATTCATCATTGGAAATTTGCACCTTTACATGATCTCTCTTGATTCTTATTTTTCACCCTTGTCCAGCCCTCCCTTCAACCCCTCCATTCCTCCCTATTAACTATTCTTACCAAAGTGAGATAATATCTCATTGTAGTTTTGATTTGCATTCCTCGATGATTGGTGAGATCAAGCATTTTCTCTTATCCTGTTGACCACTTTGAAGAGAATAGTCTAGTTGTCTTGTAGAATGTCCTCCATTCTTGATTTGTCTTACAGCTTTCTCATGGTGTTTAATTTGTTCCTCCATGTTTTGCATTTTCTGTAAATTTGAAGTTAAATCTAAAGACTTGATTAAATTCAGGTTAAAATTTTGGCAAGAATACTTCATAGATGATATTGTATGCATCACAAGAGGTTCATAATTTCAAACAGTTGTCTGATATTTGTTATGTTAAATTTGATCACTTGATTAAAGTGATGAACACCAGATCTGTACATTATAAAAGTACAATTTTTCTTTGCAGATCTTAGCAAGAAATCCAGGGGAGTGTACTTTGGTACACGTTGAGCATCCTCTTCTCAGATATCTTTGCCTTAACAATTTTAGCATCTGTCAGTGCTTCTTTTCTGAATCAATGATCTTATTGACAGTTATAAAATTGTGATAGTCTAACACCATCATCTCTTCTGCATTTGTTAGCTGGGATTGTTCTATATAGCAAAGCTTTTGTTCACGGATTGTGGACAAACTCATTGTATCAGTCAGTGTTTACTGGAGAAACAGACATAATAAAAGATATACAAATATATAAGAATTTACAAGGTTGGCTTACAATGGCCACCCACAGTGTCAGATGTGAAAGAGTGCAGAGGGTCTCTTTGCACAATGGAGACTGTAGGATACAGTCGAAAGTCTGGGGCTCACTACAGTGTCCCATGTGAGTCCATATCAGGAGGCCAATGGGTCTGCAGTGGAAGGCTGGAGTCTATGCCAGAAGGCTGAAGGGTCTGCTCCTGAAGCAGAAAAGTCTGCACGAAAGCCAGGGGAAGACATCCAAGATGAGGGCAAAGACTGGACCTCCTCTGAAGAAATAGAAGCAGGTCCATCTTTCTTCAATTTCCCTTTATGCTATCCAGGCAACTAGCCACCCTAGGGTGGGTCTTATATAACCTTAGGGTATGGAATTGCTGAGCCAATTTAGTTGAGCTTCTCTTACTCAAACTGACACAATCAATCAACCATCACACTCAACAACTATTTTACCTTCATTAAAAGTAAAGTAAAATGCTCAATTTATTTTTCTTTAATGACTAGCTCTTGGAGTGATGAATCAGTGAAACAGTCATCTGCAAAGATGGCAAATGATTTTTTCCCTTCTCTTTTTATTTTATCTCTTACACATCAGTATGTACTTAAATTATTTATTCAAGAAATTACTATCAGTTATAATCATTTTCTTTTTATTGCTCAACTTTCTTCAAATTCAAGCATAGGAGTCCCATTCCTATGGGTTATGACACTGACAATGAACCTAGAGAGTGAAGATTTGGCTGGGGATTTAGCTCAGTGGTTCTGTCACCTGCCTTGAGAGTGAAGATTTACTTGGCATTCTTCTTCTCTTGAAATGCATCCCACTTGGGTTATGCAGTGGAATAAGTCTTCCCTCCGTGTTATTATGACACACCCTCATTGATCCCTGATCATATTTTCTGGCTCAATAAAATGACTGAGGACCAACTTGTCCCAAATCTGAAATGATCTGTTTCTCTAAAGAGCTTTGGCTCCTTTTAGTGGGGAATGCTATTTAGGTCAGGGCACTGGATGGGTTCGTCGTTACTTGCTTATCATTTTTTGTATTCTCTCAATAGATAGAACCAGAAAAATAATAAAATATTAGTTTATATTATTTTAAATTTAACATTGCTTGATTTTACTTAGCTTTGATTTCATATTTGTATCTTCGTTCTTACTATAAAGTTGATTTCCAGTTTATTTTCTTTATTCTACATGAAATTATTTCAAAACGATGATAGCATTTTCTACTACTAACAATGAACTTAGAAGGTGAAAATTTGTAGTTATTCTTCTTGTCTTGAAATATATCCTACTTGGTTTATATAGTAAGAATACTGTGTTCAAAGGCCACTTGGAATAAGTCTTCCCTCCATGTTATTACATTTCAAATTTGATATAGAATTACATGAATTTGTTGCAGTTTGTCTTGAATTTTAGGATTTATTTATTGTTATTTTTGTTTGATTTGATTTTTTTGAACACATGAAATATTTTAATGGTGCTTTTTTGGCTTCCACAAGTGGATGTTGTCCCTTTCTATAGGAAGGTAGAGGACATCTCAGAGTAAAGTCATTATTCAAAAACAGAGTCACATAGCTCTGAAAAGTTGCTTTTCAGAAAATGAGTGCATGAATATTTCTTTAAATTCAGCCCAAATGTTCCAATGAGTTAGCTATACAGTCCTAGTAGCGACAGCAAGAATTTAGTTGGACTTGTTGAACTTCAAAGGGTGTCTCTAGGCAGTCATTTTTGTGGTGTGTTGAACAGTGTGTGATCTCTAACTCTGGAAGCTCAATCATGGAATTAATGAGAGGTTTCATCAGTACCCAAAAGAACATCTTTCCAAGAATTTATTAACCTTGGTGGTCAGTTTGGAAACTTCAAAATTTCTGCTTGGGGCTTGAGAACTTTTCTGGATATGTGTAAAGTGCAAGAGGACAGAGGGAGAGGGAGAGAGAAGGAGAAGGAGACAGAGAGAGAGAGGAGAAGAAACTCATTTTTTTTAAACACATTTCTGCTAGTCTCATTTTTGCTAGAATAAACATAACACATTCATCACCTTTTATCTTTAATATTTTGAAAACACTCACCTCTTAGGAGGATTTACTACTTTTACCTATGGAATTGGCAAACTGTGGTAGGGTGAAAAGGGCTCGATTCTATTCCAAGGCAGGGTTCTTCAGAACTTATTTTTCATGTGAGATTGGCCTGTATTGGGTGAGAGCCTGGACCTTTTCATAGCTCAGTTTTCTCAGCTATGAAACAAGCATAATATGCATTGTCACAAAATGTGTTGTCATGAGGATCAAATAAGACAATGAGTCTAAAAGTTGTTCTATTTTCTATGGAAAATCTGAAAACTTTACACTTCTGATTTTAATATTTAATAATATTGCTATTATCTTTTCTTGTCTGTTATGTTAGTGTTCCTTGGCCCACTGAGTTTGGCTTCTGGCTGCCTACAGTCCATTTCCACACAGTTGTCAGAACATCTTGTCAGATCAGATCACATCTCTCCTCAGCTGCAGGCTTTCCTTGAGTCTCTCCATTGCCTCTTTGCCTTCGATTCCTGCTATTGTGCGAGGACTCTTTCTCTCCCAAACACTAGTTTCTTGTTAGTCTTCCAATCTCCTCAGAGCTTTTAACAGGCTACTCTGCTGAGGACACTTTCCTGTACATCCCTGTGGCTCTCATTTCAGATCTTTGCCTTTCGATGATTCTCTGCCCATTCCATTAAAGCTGCACTTCTGAAACTCCTCCCCAGCCCTCCTTCCTACTTTATATTTTACACAACACTTAGTACTTGCTGATATATATGGATGGCATTTATTTTGGTTATGATTTGCCTTTCTTCACTAGATTATAAACTGCATTAGAGCAGAGTCTTGTTTTTTGTTGTTGCTAATGGATGATCCCCAGCACCCAAAACAAACTGACACAACTTAGCTCCCCAGTAAATATTTTTGGAATGAATGAATTAATGACAGATTTATGGACTCAAAATCAAACAGAGAAAGGAAATTTTAATGTGAATTCCATATTTTAATGTCTTGTCCATTTATAAGACATTCAAATAATCTTTTTGCTGCTATAAGAATCCAGGAATGCTACTTATATCCTATTCCAAAGACCTGGGCCAAGAATCAATACACACAGGAGAAAATTTTTGTTGTTATTGTTAAAAACAGAGAGAGGCTGGGGCACACCAGGCAAATCTGACACAACGCACTCACCTACAGTGTGCTATTGGTTCCCTAACCAGATTTGGCATATTTTCTTCAGTACCATGTAATCTGGTCTTGTGGCTTTTGATGTAATTTTTATTAGTGCATGTTTGCTGCACATAATGATTACACTCATTGTGAGGAATGGGTACCGGTACATAACTTATCTCAATTCTCTTTTTTTTCCCCTTCCTACTGTTTTAAAAAATGTTCTTTTTTTTTTTGCCAGCATCAGATTTATTTATTTTATAAGTCTTTATCAAGATAATTATCATAAACACAGGTTAACAGCCAGTCTATGGTTTTGTGGCTTTTTAAACAGCAGAATGATAGATGACCCCATGGCATTTCCCAAATGGTGTGTCAGGGAACACTAATTCCAAGAAGTATTAACCTATTCTAAAAAGGAGTAAGAGTTCTGCACTTCTGATTCATAGTACATATTAGCCTGTTGAAGACTCTGCAGAATCTCACAGCTTAAAAATGAATAAAGGAGGGCCGGGGATTTAGCTTAGTGTTGTTGTCGCCTGCCTCACAAGTGTGAGGTCCTGAGTTAGATCCCTGGTACCAAAATAAAATAAAATAAAAGATGAGTGTCCTTTATTTATTGGCCCTACTTATTGGAAAAGGGGGAAAATTTTTCATTGTATACCTATTAATACTCTACTTCATTCCAGGAGAATAAAATATTAATGGCTTCAATCTTTTATGGGATTTTACTTAATCTTTTGTTAAAAGGCCCATACTAAAACAAAATGTGAGAGGTCCATGGCGCTATGCCAGATTATTTTTAAAATTCCAGGCAGGATTAAATTCTACTCCAGGATTTTCATTATTTGAAATGACATGCTGATATTGAAAGATAATACCTTTCACCATCTATTTTGCAGCCATGATCTACAGCTTCAAGTTTTTATTTCCCACGTCCTACCGTGCCCATCTTTTGAGACTTTAATTGAGTGACATAATTGAATTTATATTTCAAGAAACCTCCCCTGAAGAGGAATATACCACCAAAATACTAAAATTTTTGGTGAGTAAACAATGAGCATTTAAAAATGCTTTTACATATCTGAAAAATATAGGTTTGTATTTATCCTTCCCTCTATCTCAAGCATTCAATATCCTCCATTCTATGTGAATTATATGTTTTATTCATGAGTCTCCACATCTAGGAATTCTCTATATCTAAATTTTGGATGACACCCATAAGTTAGGGCACATGTGAAGATTTTTAGGGCCCTATTTCTTTCTCCTTATTAGAACATCCTTCCTTTTCCCAGGCCCTCAAGCCTTTCCCTGATCCTGATCCTACTCACTCTTGAGCCCAGCTGCTCACACAAATCTCTGTTAAGGCATAAAATGATAATTATAATGTTAAATAATCCCTTGAAATAAGATCTTTACAAAAAGCATTTATATTTTGAAAAATAATTCTTTAGGACACTCCTATCATTGGTGACACAGAGAGAAAGACTAGAGGGTAAGAAAATGGGACATAATCTCTCAGAAAGTCAAGAGTGTGTTCTATCCCTTTGGGAAGGGATATTAGTCAGGTCTCTGTTGCTGTGACAAAATACCTGAGAAAAATCAACTTAAAGGGAGAAAATTTATTTGGGCTCACAGTTTTAGATATTTCAGTTTACAACTGGTTGGCCTGTTGGTTTTGGGCCTGTGGTAGGGTAGAACATCATGAGGTATATGGCAGAACAAAACTGCTCACCTCCTGGTGGCTGGAAGGACAGAGGGAAAGAGACAGAGAGGGGGAGAGAGAGAGACAGAGACAGAGAAAGGAGAAGGGACTACAGTTCCAATATTAATTTCAAGGACCCTTCCCAATAAACTAACTTCCTTCCACTAGGCCCCACTTCCCAAAGGTTCTACCAGTCCCCAGTAGCACCACAGACTGGCAGCAAGCCTTAAGAGTCTTGGGGTGCTTCAGATGCAAATCATAGCAGAAGGTTCTATGTATTAGAAACATACAGGTCATCCACAGATGTCTTAGTTACATAGGACCCTGCACTTAGTGCTGGCACAATGGCATCCATAACTGTAACACCCATTCTCACAGCTAACACTACCAAAGGCTCAGGGAGAAGCTTTTCCACACCTTTTACCCAGGGATCCTGAAACAAAGGCAATGAGACCTAAAGATTTGTGGATTTTTCTACTGCTAAAGACAACTACTTTCAAATGTAGGGAGGCAGGCATGGTAGCACATGCCTGTAATCCTAGTGCTCGGGAGGCTGAGGCAGGAGGATCATGAGTTTCAGGGCAGCCTGGGCTATACAGTGAGTTCAAGGCCAGTCTGAACTACAAACCAAGACTGTTTAAAAAAAAAAGTGGGAAGAATGTGAGCAGTAAAAGAACTTAAATAAGACAAAATAAATTAACATTCCAAGTCCCTCCTTTCACAAATCATGAATTCAAGAGATTGTTTCTTAGTATTCCTAAACATTCATTTTCTTCCTCTTCTTCAGGCTTTAATGATTGTTTCTGGTGATATTCATGAATTAGCCTGAAAATATTTGTAACATCAAAGAATCCATGAAAGTCTCTCTCTCTCTTAGTTTTTCTGAAACAGAGTCTTTCTATGTAGTCTAGGGTGGCTTTGGACTTACTCTGTACCCAGGGTGGCCTTGGATGCATTGTGATTCTCCTGCCTCAGCCTCCTGAGTGCTGAGATTACAAGTATGTGCCACCATGCCCAGCTCATATAACTAACTCAAAGTCATATTATACCAGTATGGGAATAATACACTTGAAGTGTGATAGTGATTCTTCCCATTGCTTCCTGGTGGATCCTGAATTCCAGAACAGCAAAAGCTTTGTTTTATAAGATTTATTTTATTTTTGAATCTTAAAAATTCAATTAATAATTTTGAATTTAAATTCTATTACCAGTTTTTTTTGGTAGCAGGGATCGAACTTGGGACCTTACGCTTGCAAGGCAGGCAGTGACAGCGACACCACTGAGATAAATCCCCAGCCCTTAAATTCTAAAAATAGACATTCAATTATAATTTGTATTTTATTAGGTTTAATAGATATTTTTGAATGCTTTAGAAGAAAAACTTTTTGAAACCTTATGAAAAATTTATCTTTTCCAATTTTGCATTTACTTTAATTTACAGATTTTGATGAAATCTATTTAAATTTGTGAACTTTGAATGTTGTCTTATTCTTTGCATCATTGAGAATGAGTACAATTTGTACTTGTGACAAACTGAAAAGACAAAAATAGAGTTTAGAAAAGGGAAAATTCTATAAAAGAAAAAATTAAAGCTTCAAAGAGGTAGTCTGCTTGAATTTTTTAAAACTATTAATTAAAAAGAAAAATGAGCAGGCTTCTGTCACATGTGACTCAAACTTTGCAAGTAGGCATTACAAATTTTTTTTTAAGTTGGACTTTTGGGATATAGTTTACATATAGCAAAAGTCACCCTTTTTCATTGTTGAATTCTGCATGTTTTGATAAAACATATATTATTTTATAACCATGACCACAATTAAGATATAGGGCATTTCCATTAACCCAGAAAATTCCCATGTGCTCCCCTGTAGTGTATCAATGCCCCACTCCCCAGGCTTTAGGTCCTAATCTTTGACCTGATTTCTACAATAGTTTTATCTATGTCAGAATGTTACGTAAATGGAATTCATACAGGATATAGTCTGCAATGTTTGACATCTTACACTTAACATAATCCTTTTGAGAATCATTCATGTTGTCTCAGTTGATCATTTCTTTTTATTATTGAACATTATATTATGATGCAAAGATACTACAATTTGTTCTTTCATTGTCTAATTGATGGATATTTAGATTATTTCTAATTTGGGATGATTATGTTAAAAAGGCACTGTAAACACCTTTTTAGATATATATTATTATTGCTATGGCCATGGTCTGTATCTTAGTTACTTTTCTCTTGTTGCTGAATCAAAATACTCATGGCAGCAGAAGTCAGCAAAAGCAAGCAAGCAAGCAAACAAGAGAATTTAACAGTCTCTTTTATGTTATTCAGACTGCTTAGAGGGGGTAGCACTCACATGCTTAATCCTAGTCCCCTTGAGCCTAGCATTGGACCATGATCAATTACACACTCTAAATTCAGCCACCTCTGAAAGAGCTCCACTTATAACTGCATGAGGCTTTGGAGGGACATCTAGACACAAGCTATAACAGGCTATTTTGAATAGAAGAAATTTCCAGAGTGGGAAAATCTATGAAGATGAGAGAGTAGCTCAGTGGTTGCCTAGATTTAATGGGGAAGGATTGGGAGTTGACAACTAGTGGGTGGAGTATTTTGTTTAGGGATAACAAAAATGATCCAAATTTGATTGTGGTCATGCTTGTACGACTCTGTCAATATGCTAAAATCTATTCAATCATACACTGTAAGTTTGTAAATTGTATAGTTCAATAAAGCTGTTATTTTTTAAAAAGTCACTGTATGCACTCTTGTTCAGGTCTTTGTGTAGTCATGTGTTTTTATTTATTTCTCTTGGGTAAAGATCTGTGAGTGGCCTGATGTGCCATTGGTAAGTGCATGTTTAACTTTGTAAGAAACTGCCCAAGTCATCCCCAGAGTGGCTGTACTGTTTTATGCATCCACCTGTAGCATATGAGACTTCCCCATGTCTGCATTCTTGTTAGCACTTGGCATTGTAAATTTTCAAAAATTTAGCCATTTTAATAAATAGCAAATCTTCTAATTAGTGATCAAAATAGTTAAATTGAACAAAAAAATGATTTTCATCAGCAATAGAACTTAAATAAGTTGGATGAAATCCTGAAACTTAATGTTACTCATTAGGATAAGAACATGTGTGGACTTTCATTTGTACTCTTACTCAAGGCCCACAGATAATAGAGGTAAGGCTGTAACCCCTACCCCACTACCCTATGCTCTGAAATTTACACTTCCAAGAGGGGTTAACCCCTTGGGGTCTGTTTGAGGCCCAGTCTTTTGATGGGCAGCTGCCGCTCACTGTGCAGCTCCCTCTAGATGGGAAACTTGAGGAGTCAGCCTAATCTCTCTTCTTGCCCTGCCTCTTCCACACTAGGAATGAAAAGAAAGTAACAGACTACTCTAAGAAGCTGCCAACCCCTAGTCTAGAAAACAGATTCTATGGTTAGGTAACTTTCTCTGTAAAGATGTAGTATGGGTTCATGGGCTTTTATGGTTTATATCTAGATGTGCCCCTAAAGCCTCAGGCCCTCATTGGTGGGGCTTTTGGGAGGTAACCGATCATGGGTGTGATACTGGATCATGGGTGTGTGACACTGAATTAGGGCTCTGATGAGTTTATAGCTGAGTGAGATGTTGGGAGGTGAAGCCCAGTGGGAAGAGATGGATCACTCTAGGCATGGCCTGGAGGATATATGTCCTGCAGGCTGGGGTACTGTGTTATGGTTTATATCTAGATGTCCCTCCAAAGCATTATGTGGTCATAGGTGGGGAATTTCAAAGGTGGATGGATTAGCGTGTGTGCATGTGGATTAAGGGGGTAATGCTGGGATTAAGGAAGTGGATAATAGAAGACCCTCCCCCCCACCCCCGTGTGTGGGTGGCAACAATCAATAGGCTTACAACCTGGATGGAATATAAAGAGAGGGAGGGAAGGAAGAGCTGCTGCTGCTTCTGCTGCTGCTGCTTCATTGTCTCCTGCCTGCTTGCCATGGACCATTTCTCTTCTGTGATGCTCCCTTGCCATGTCATCCTGCCTTGGAGCCAGCTGATTATGGACTGAAACCTCTGCAGACTGTGAGCTGAAATAAACCTTTCTTCCTTTAACTTTGGCTGGTGGGTATTTTGTCTTCACAATAAGAAAAGTAACTAAGAGTCCCTGCCTCCCATGATGAGTGCTATTTCCTGCCTGCCCTGCCATGTCCTCTGCCATACCCCTCTGTCATGCCACCTTGCCTTGGAGCCAGCTGACTATGGACTGAAACCTCTACAAACTGTGAGCTAAAATAAACCTTTACTTCTTTAACTTGTGAATTTTGGGTATCTTTTCCCAGCAATAAGAAAATGACTAAGACATGGGCCATGTGATGGAATAATGAATGGTGCTGAGAAGAGGCTGTGACAATAGATTCTTCATTCTACAAACTGCCAGTGTGGGGAGCTTTACAGGATGTAGCAGATGGTGCCATACTGTAGATATCCCATCACTGGTAAGATACCCTGGGTAGTTTCCAATCACTGATGATTTCAGATCTTTAAATCTTGGATGTCCGGGGTTGGAGAAGTCTGGTCTATGGATTGGCATTGACAGCCTCTCTGAGTTGGGATGGGAATGAGAGATGAAGATTAAACTCTGATTAACCTTGAATAACTCAAACTTTTCAGCAGACTATAAAGAATGTTTCTGGGGAAAGTGTACTTTCTCAACTTCAGATTCAGTGAAAAAGACACTCAATAGATCAAATGCTTCCACTTCCTCACCACAAGAATGTAGCCCCTTAGGAGCTGTGGTGTTTTGTGACCTACCAGCTGCAGGCTGGGGTACAATACATCCTGATTTGACATTTGGGGAGCCTTCAAATATTTAAGGGCTTTCACCTATCCTCCCAGTTACTTCTGCCTTTGAGGATCATAAAGACCTTGAGAAATGGCAAGCTTCCTTTTCAGAATTTCTTCATTGAATGCCTTATTCTCAGTTCATTAATTTTTAAAAGCCTTCTAATGTATTTGGCACATCATCTTATGCCCATTGCAATGCAAGTCAACTTTTCCAAATGATGCAGTGTAAAATAGTCAACTAGACCATCAATTATATATTTTCTATTCATTTAATATATTTTAGGGTTTGAACATGCACACTGTGGAATTAGGCAACCCGAGTTCAAAGTATAACTTGATGATTTAAGCAGCTGTTTAACACATTCTTAAAATTTCAATGGACTTCCAATTTATTTCCTTCTTTACTTATTTTTGAAAGTCCTTGATTGTTATTGCTTTTATGTGCACAAATAGTGCTTTCGAGATTTTCACAATTAGTCATACAGTAATTTCTGCTGCATTTTATTGCAAAAATGGCTGTATAATTGTAGGCAAGAAGTTTATCCTCTGTGATTTTTTTTTTTTTTTTTTGGTGCCGGGGATCGAACTCAGGACCTTGCACTTACAAAGCAGGCTGTGGACCACTGAACTAAATCCCTGGCCCCTCTGTGATACTTTTTAAAATTTCCTTTTCTTTTTTTCTTGGTACCAGGGATGGAACTCAAGGCCTTGTGCTTGCAAGGCATGCACAGCACCACTGAGCTGAATTCCTGGCCCAATTTCCTTTTCTCTTAAAAAAACCTTTTGATTGAGATATAGCAAACATAAAGAAAACTTGGTGAATTGTTGTATACACTCATGCAGTCCCATTAATTATTGCTGCATTTTATTCTCAGAAAAATAAATTACATTTAAACTTCAAGTGAATGGTAGAATTTCATTATTGAAGTGCACAAGGAGTGTTTCATTCCAACTTATACCTAGAATAGTTAATTATAGCTGAAAGTGAATATTCAGATATTGATAAAATCATGGCAAACATGAAGCACATTGTTCTGTTGATTATTTATGGTGTGGCACACATTATGTTGTGATGTTAGCCTTGATCATCAGGTCATCCATTCTCTCTGAATTTGTGTGTCCCACTGTTCAAAGATGTGCTCTACATAGTCTTACATGCTACTATGAAGCCATCATATCAAGTTACTCAATAGCTCATCTTACAATGAAATATATAAAGGATTAGCTTTAGTCCACCTCTCCAAATTGCCAAATACTCCATGGATCCTGCTCAGTGATGATGATCTGAACTGAGCATTTCACATCCATCTTAACTTTATTTTTGTAAGGAAACAGGACCCTGATTCACTTAGCAGTATGGACTTGAGGTTGATTTGTTTGTCTATCAAAATATTACTTCAGTTAAATTTTACTTAACTCTACCCTTCCTCCAAATCCTGTAAAAATTCATCTTTCTTTTGTTTGGTGAGATGATCCATGCTTCTCTCATATATGGTCTTTGCTATGGATCAATAAATCTGCTCTGTACAGATTGGAGTACAGATTTATCCCCAGGTGTCTTAAGCCAATTAGGCTAGGACAGTAGATTTTATTATTTCTGTTTTTAAAGATAAGGAAACTGAGGCTCAAGAAGTTAAGTAAAGGATACAAGGGGCATAGATAATACGTGGTCACAGAATTCAAATGAGATCTTAAGGGTAACAAAGCCCAATCCTTTTCCAGATGCTGTTCTAACCTCCTGGCTTTGGCCTCATTCCACTGGATATATCACACTGCTTTTGTTTAACAAGGCTACCCACTGTGAAGCCACAAAAGCCACTCTTACCATTTTGCTCTTCCTCATCACCAATAGTATCTAATCGTGACACAGCCTTTATTTCCCAAAGTATGGTTTCAGTTTCATAGTGTTCTTCCCTGCCAAGAACCTGAATGAGCCGTGCAACACTTAGTGCCGAGTTCTGAGTTCTTTTTTCCTTAGTCATACCAGTCAGTGAATATTTCTAACAGACTTTGGATCTTCATTTTTCTCATGCCTCTGCTTTTGCTGTTTTTTGACCTTGGACTCCCTTACCCCCAAATCTTTGTCTATACAAATCTTCCCCCCGCTTCCCCATTTCCTCCCTTTCTCCTTTCCTTCCTATCATATCAAGCAAGGTCCCTTGTTGCAAAGAACAGAAACTATGCTACCAGTAGTCCATTTTGCAGAGAATTAATTTATAAAAGCTGTATGTATTTTACAGAAACATTTATATATATATATTTTTTAACCTGAAAGCTATTTAACAATACTGATCCAGGGTAGACAGCATCCTGTTGCCTGCACACAGATAGCACAGGTTCTATCTCTGACGCTAGGGGGTGCTAGACTCTTTTTGCTGCTGCGCTGGAAGCTCGGCATCTACACTGTTCTCATCAAGACTATGCAGGTCAGTGCCTCGTTAAACTCACAGTCTCCAAGTTGTCTTTCACAGGTATATCTAACTAGCAGAGCCCAGGTTTCACAAGGGCAGCTGGGGAAAGAGATTTTAAAGTCTATCTCAAGGAACAGACTTGAAAATTGGAGATGTCTCATCAAACAGGAAAAGCATTCAAACAGCATAGATGCCAAATAAAAATGATGAATACTTATTACACTGTGTCTAGCTGGTACCCAACCTGAGAAGTCTTCTTTAAATAAATAAATAAATAAATGACAGCAAGAATGAAGCCCTGGTTGTTCTGTCCTTCTGGTATACTTTATTTGCATCTCTATTGAGTTATTATAATCCTAACAGATGAGATTCATACACCTCCCTATCTCCTTACCCTTGTTTTAGTTCATAACTTTCAACTGCCATGACAGTACTTTTTTTCCTTGAGTGTTTTCCCTGCCCATTTAAACTTTATTTCATTTACTGGTACATTTTTTTGAAAGGATGGGGGAATTAACAAAGGCCAGGGGCAGCCCTCAGCCAATGACCAACAGAAGGTGTATAAAAACTTCAGCTTCCTTGCCCTGCTAACCCTCAGGCATGTGGTTAATAGTAGCTGCCAGCAATTTCCTGGTGGGTATAGGTTCAGTGCTACAGCAACAGATGGCTTGAAAACTCCTTTAGTGGCTCTCTTCCACTCCATGTCTCATTCCTCTATCAATGTCAACTTCATTTCCCTACTACTTTTACTTAGGGCTGAACCCAGAATAAGACAGCACTCTTCCCTGTATAATAGACAACAAATTACTTACCCATCTCCCTTATTTAAGAGTCTTGAAGCACTGCCATTTTTTCTCTCTTAGGATATCTAGTACAGGCCCCTGTAGATAAGAGACACCAAGAATATTGTGACAGTTAATCTTGATTGGCAATTTAATTGGCTTGGGAGACACGAGATTAGAAAAGCACACTTCTGGGTGTGTCTGGGTGGCTCATTAGAATGTGACCTTGGGAACTATAGCTGATCCCTGACCACTTCCTCTTTAGCTCTCTATATAATCTCTGCTTCTCAGCCATCATGAGGTGAGCAGCTTTCTTCTGTCATGTCCTTTCACCATGATGTTTTTGGCTTGAAGCTAGGAGACAATATTATGTACTCCCTGAAACTGTGAGCCAAAATAAATATTTTATCCTTTAAGTTGTTGGCATCTGGTATTTTGTCTCATCAATGGAAAGATGACTAATACAAATATATTTGTTGAATTCATTGAATTGAATTAAATTAGCAGTGATGTTTAGATTTTAAATTTATACCATGGAATAGAGATAAAATTTTACTCTTTTGGGAAGGAATCATAAGATCTTAACTGGATTTTTAAATTTAAATTTTATTTCATTCACTTATTTGGCATTGGAGATTGCATGTAGGGCTTTATGAATACTAAGCATGTACTCTACCACTAAACTACAGCTCCACCCCAAATAGTGGTTATATTTGATGATAACAATTAGAGCTGTTGAATTTCTAACTTTTGCTCATATATTATTATTACTTTTGAAAATATCAACCATCTCAGAAAAGTATGGCCCACTGTGGCTACATACTAGTGGCCACATTACTCTGAGCCCTTGTGAAGGTTCAATGGTTTGCCAAAGTTTAAACTCTTGTGTAAAACACCCAGCGAGGAATGCTAGAGACAGCCAAGGGGGTCTGACTGACCCTATAGTGGTCTCCTTAACCTTAGACCCCCCAGCCTGAATTCATGCCTTAGTGGAGTAATTCCTTTTCCCACCCCCATCTTTTGTCTCTTAGGATGGGCTCCCAACAGTTAGGAACATCTCTCAGATCAGTGGTCATTCATTTGTTTAATTCTTGAGTTTTTGGTTTGAATATAGCCCCAGGGGTTTTGGCCAGTGAGTATAATAATTTCAATGGCTTTGATAGGTAAGAATAAATAAAATAAATGGTGAGTATTATGTAATAGCTGGGAACCCCTGAATGGTTTGGCTATGGTTCTCAAAAAGAATGAAGGAAGGATGTGGTCAATATACAGGAATGAAGGTTGAATGGGGCCAGGCTAACATGCTTTGGATACCAACATTGTGTGGGGGTAGAGCAGTGCAGCACAGGGACCACAGGAGTGGTCCCAGGCTCCCTGTCTCTGTTGCAGCACTGAAGAAACTCCTGACTTTCTTGCATATTTCTGACAGGAGCTCTACTCTTCTCAGGCAGGAGCTCTACACTTGTCATTTCATCAACATGCCTAGACTCAGTGGCATCATTTTCCTTGAGAGCCTCAGGATTAATCTCACTGTGGCTTTAGCTGTGTGTA